GCTAGCATTACAGTGTGATTAAGTCAAAAAAAGGCTTCCAGTAGATTTTTTTTTCCATTTGTAGGGTAGACATCTTCAGTGTTGGACAAATTTATATAAGGTATAAGATGTCTAAAACATTATAGTGTGACCGAGCCTGTAGCATATGTGGTTATATGATTATCTATGCTTTTATTTCATCTCATCTGGATTATTGTAACAGTCTTTTCACATGTTTGAATAAGAAGGACCTAGACCGTTTGCAGACAGTTCAGAATGCTGCTGCAAGGCTTTTAACCAACACATGGAAAAGACAACACATAACTCCAGTTTTAATTTCTTTACACTGGCTGCCGGTATATTTTAGAATTCACTTTAAAATTCTAGTTCTTACCTTTAGAGCCCTGTGTGGTCAAGCCCCAGTCTATATCTCTGAACTTTTAGAGCCCTACTCCTCTTCTCGCAACCTCAGATCTCCCAGTCAAAGGTTGTTAATGGTTCCACGGACTAATTTCAAGACTAGAGGGGATAAAGCCTTTAGGGCAGTGGTCCCCAGGCTGTGGAATGCACTGCCTCTAACTTTGCACTGCCTTGATTCTCTTGAAATTTTCAAAAAGCAGCTGAAAACACATTTGTTCAGACTGGCTTTTAATTTTTACCTCCGCCATCGGTGAGGTAATGTTTTCGGTCGCGTATATCTGTCGGCCTGTCGTTCTGTCTGTGGACAACATTACTCAAAAACTTGTGGACGGATTGTCATGACATTTTTACCACATGTGGATACTGGCACAAGTAACACACCATTAAATTTTGGTGATGTTCCAGATCACGATGCGGATACAGGAATTTTTTTCTTTTAATCCTCTCAGATCGGCAAAGCTGTGATGCTTTCACGGGGCTTCGGTAAAAAAGTGTGACAGCTTTCAATTTTTGGACTTCAAACTTTATAAAAGTAATGTTAAAACCAGATGTAATGATGAATTATTCTTGCCATAATGTGCACATTTTTATGCATTTGGTGCGCATTTAGAGAACGTTTTGTGACCAGGAAGTGCGTGACTGCACCATGAAACCTATTCTCCCCATTTCTTCAAACACACCACATTGTCAGTAGGCTTGTACACAGATCGATGAAGACTGAGGAAGAGGAGTGACGTGGTGGACTTCAGACTCGGAGGTTGTTTGTTTGTTTGTTTGTTTGTTTGTTTGTTCATTTTTATTATTATTTAAATGAGGCCAGATCAAGTCGAGAGCTATATGTGCATCCCTCTATCCACCTCTCACCAAACTTTGGGGAAAAAAAGAATGCGCAGAGCGTGGTTGTGACTGCTGTGTGTGTTCCTCACAAAGATAGTAAGACACATGTGTGTCTGTGTGATTACACGTGCGATGAAGACTCTGCTTTATTTAATCATGTAGCACCGATGCGAAAGCTTTCAACAATAACATCGGGTGACGAGTCTGACTTTTTCCCTTTTTTTCCACATTGGACTGCACCGGGAAGAAATCCCATGCATACTGCCTGCTTAAATGTTCACTACGTCAGAACTTATTCGGCAAATGTGTTTCCATCTCTGCTTTTGTGCATTAACTCTATTACAGGATGGGGGAAATTGGACTTGTATGTTTTGTTTTATCTATCTTGTTTTATCTCTTGTGTTTTTATGTCTTCTTGTAAAGCACTTTGTGGTTTCTGACCTGTGAAAGGTGCTATATAAATAAAGTTTACTTACTTACTTACTATATCTTGCAAGAGACACTTCAAACTTATTTATAGGATTCAAAAAACAATGAAAACTAAGCGTACCCTGTCCAGATTTAAATGAGACTTTTTTTAAAACTATCTGTTCCTTCCAAACTATGTCAAAGCTCAGTACAAAATTTGTACTGTGCTTTGGCCGTGAACGTATTCATCAAGACACCCATACCTGTAGTGGCTTCATTACTTAAAACCAAAAGGATATGAATAGTAAAGATTCATGCCAGAGTGTTTGACTAAAATCCTCTTGTGCTGAGATGAGACATTTCAGTCAAACACTGAAAATAACATTATGTAAGATCTTAAATTCATTCAAATCTGTTCAGTGCTTCCTGAGATATTTTGCTAATATAGCAGATGAATGAATGCATGTACAAACACACAGATGCAAAATCATTATTGCCCTTTCACCCCGGGCAGCAGGAGATATCAAAAATGCAATTCTTTCAGCTTGCTTTTCTTCTAAAGAGCGAAGAGAAAAAAACAACAGGAATGAGAGGTTACGAGGCGGACAGGTGACTCAGCAGTGTGTGTGTGTGTGTGTGTGTGTGTGTGTGTGTGTGTGTGTGTGTGTGTGTGTGTTTGTGTAAACCTGGCAACAGCTCTCTCAACAGGAGGTGAGTTTTAACACGCCCCCGTCTCGAGACAAAAACACCGAGGACCAAACAAGGACAGCGCTGTTCAGTCCTCGACCCCGTGCTCCCTAACAACACGGGGCTGAGCTGTTTAAGGCTCCGTGCCACTGGAAACAAGCTGGAATTTACATTCTTAAAAAGGAAGACCGCATTTCTCCCTGTTTTCTGTGTCATTGTGGCAAAATAAACGGTGCATTGTTTTGGCTCCAGATAATGGAGGAAAGGCATTCCTTTTAAAAACAAGACTTGAAGGGAGAAGAAAGTGGCTGTGAAGTGCTGCAATAGAGCGCACACTCGCTCTGATCACACTCAGAGTGCAGAGAGGGATGTGACCCAGAGCGCCTCTCTAATCTCACCGCATGACACTGATGTGTTCCAGGCTGAGTATTGATTAACCACATCAATAAGGGAAGGAAGAAAAAAAGCATGTCGTCCTTTTTTCCACTTGAAATGAGTCAAAAACTGGCGTCCGTGTTTCAAGTCTTTGTCTTGTCTGGTGGCTTAACTCATCCTCGGAATGGGGTTTTCAGAGTTGGAGCTGTAACATCACACAGCTGTGGCCGTCTTTTATTGTCACCATGATTATGACACCAGTGACGATTTCCTTTGATAGTGTCTGTTAGCCAAATATTTCATGAAGTAGACAACTAATTTTAATGAAATTCGTAGGAAGCAATCACTGGGTGTTCGTCTACAATTCTTAAACATTTGGAATTCCCTTGATCCAAGATGGCCGTAATTTATTCACAGCTAATTAACCTAAGCAAACAATCTGGCATTTTATCACCTGGCTTGGCTACAGGCTATGTTTACGAGAGTGCCGGTTTGATCGCTCAGTTTATATTGGCCTAGAATGATGTCATCAGGAACGCCGGCCCTTTATTTTAAAAGAGAAATCCTAGAGCTTCACATTATACAATGGGATTTCCTGGTGCTACAGAAGCCGGCAGAGAAAAACTTAAAATTTACAGGAGATTTTCCATGATTTATTTATTGGAAAACTTCAATTTAAAAGTAAATTAAAAAGATTAAATGCTTTTTTGGATACTGGGGTTGCTAGCTGGCGTACAATCCTTTACACAAATCTCAATTATGGCAAAAATCTGTATCTTTCATGTGTTTTGCACTGATGCATTCTAACTAATTTTGCCACCATGAGGCATGTATTCTGAGCACAAACTTCATATTGGAGCTAAATTTAAAGGTTTGGCAATAGCTGTTGAAGCCAACCTTGTCTATCTGTTAGCAAAATATCTTATGAAACACTATATCAGGGGTGTCAAATTAATTTTCAGTGAGGGCCACATAAGTGTTATGGTGGACGTCAAAGGGCCAGTTGTAATTAACTTCAACGGTGCATTTTGAACTTTGACTAAACAAAACGTCATGTTCCTCATCTCGGTGTTACGGCTGAGCATGGCTAACAAACAATAACTGATCTCTACGTGGTATTTCCTACACAGAAACAGTGTTTTAATGTCCTTGTATAAAAACTGAAAAGTACTACATATATGATTGACTAAATGTGAAATAAATATAACAGAAATACTATTAAAAGTACAAGTAAGAGTGTGTTACTGTTAAATTGTGGTGGTAGGTCTTGAATTTTGAACTCTCCCACTTTCTGATAAGGAATTCCTATCCATAATCAACTTGTGTTATATAGTTGTTGCATTCTGGCAGGTGTAGTTTATGGTCAATGCTGGCTTAAAAGTAGCTTAATTTGAGACATTAATACAGAGCTATGCAACTAAATTGCTCAAGGGGGCACAGTTACTCAACGCCAACAGCTCAGGGGCAGGACAAGTATAATTATCATTCAACTTTTTTTTTTAAATTTGTTTATTTTGCATTGAATCATACATTTAAAGTTTACCATTGATATAAAAATTATTTACATATTATGGTAAATTAAGTAAAAAAAATTCCCCTAGCTTCATATTATACGAAGGGATATTCCAGTGCTACAGCAGACTGCAGAGAAAAATAAATATAAGAAATAATTACAGGATTATTTCTATGGACATACTTAAAACTTCAATTTTAAGTAGATTAAATGATTAAATGTTATTTTAGACACTGGGTGTCTTAATGTACTAAAGACAGCAGTTAAGGGGCCCTCTTTGGCAGGCCACATGCGGCCCACGGGCCTTAATTTTTACACATGTACATTCAATGGAACAGTAATCACAGCACATACATTAAACGGGTGTATGTGTCCTGGTTACCTTTTGGAAAATTAGTGCAACAGCAAATCAATCTTAGAAATCACAAAAATGGCTACAACTCAGTCAGTTTGACATGTTTTCAGCTCAAATTTGGTGTGGTAGTAGATGGGGGTCATTTTTGACATCTACTCAGAGTGCTGTAACAGACAGAGTAAGACATTTAAAACTTTGGCAGGCAAAGCACTGGGTGATCCATGTTCCTTCAAAGAAAGTTTTGTTTTATTTGTTCTGCAGCGACCCAACCCAACTCCAGCTGAGCCACAAACCACAGACACTGCTAAGAAGACATCCCCCCAAAATTCTTATTACTGTCTTGGAACAGAAGTGTTTAGTATAGCTAACGGTGCACAAAAATTGGTTTATTTACGTGGGAATTTGCAATTAAAAACAGTTACCTACCTTGACAGGTCCTCTCATTGGTTAGCAGCTTGTACCCCTTCTTGCAGCTGCACTCGAAGCTACCCACTGTGTTTCGGCACACATGATCACACCCCCCATTGTTCAGACGGCACTCATCAATGTCTGTGAACAGAAAATCCTAATGAGGAGTGGATAATTCAAATCAGTCATTGCAGCTGAAAGGGGAGGGGGGGAGAGGGGGCAGCAGTACATCATTCCTTTCTGTCACTTGGGCATAATTGGAGAAAGTTGTGAACGCGACCCCAAATTGCTTTCTTCGTTAGCACGCTGTGGCCTATTTATGCACCGGAGAGTATTTTGAGCGAGACTGATATGCAGATGGAATGTCTGCTACCTGACAAGATGTGAACCCTGTGACTCTGTCAGAGGTTATAACACAAGTTCAACAAGGTGCTTTAATCAAGCTGGTGGAGATTTATGTAAAAAAAGGTGCACAATAGGAGCATTTATTCTTCAAAAGTGGAAATAAAACTCTACGGGTTACCTTACTGGTCCTCAGAGGGACTAAAATCAGTTTGCATGTGGCTTTAAAGAGCTTGGGCTCTCACACAGTGAAGCCTTGCAGCAGTAAATTCAGAATCATCAGTGCCCATCTCCTTCAGATTCCTCTGCTCTCTGCATGTCTGCAGCCAATCCTGCGTCGGTACGTGCCGTGTTCATCCCTGTGTTTTGGTTAATTCTCTGCTTGGCAAGTTTTTCTGCAGCTCTGATTAATTCTGAATCATCACCACAAATCCACAAATGAGGCATCTGCCTCTCGAAGGGATTCCTTATCATCTGGTTGAAATAAATGCAGCAGAAATTAAATTTAAAAAAATCCCCCCACTTGCTTGATCTCGCACCCCCCAGAAAATGCCTCGCCTGAAGTAAGCTCCTGTCTTCTCGTGCCAGTGCCACCTGGGTTTGCTTTCCTCTTGTTTCCTCGCAAACCAAACCAGTACGAGTGGGTGCGCTCTTATCTGTGCTGTTTGTAAAAACAAGTCACAGAGTTGCCGGCAGATTTCCGTGCTGGCTCGACTGGAAACAAAGCGTGTCTTTGTGTAGTGTGGTGTCTTTGTTCTGCTAGTCACCCCCTAAATTTCCATATAAAGTTTGGCAAAGTTTTAGCAGACACAACTAGATAGGTTTGCAAAAGTTTGGGATGTTCTGCTTCAGACTGATTGAAAAACTGGTGCACGGAAAACTACTCAATGTGGGCTAGGAGTAGTGAGATACTGGAGTCATTAAAGCTGGAATACAGAAGATTTGTTATTTTTCTAAAATGAAATTCAATTGTTTGGCGAAGACACGGAGCTCAAACTGGTAACAGGTTCTTAACTATTCAGCCGTTCCTTTAAACCCCATGAGGAGAGGAAATCCTGACTGGCTACACGACAAGCAGGAAATTAATTTCACGACAGGTGCAGGCAGTTTTTTTTTTTTTTACCTTTGCAGGTCTTGCGGTCCGGCTGTAGAGTAAAGCCAACCGGACAGCTGCAGCGGACTCCTGTCACCGAGTCGTGACACGTGCTGTCGCAGCCACCGTTGTTCACCGCACAGGTCTCTGCGGAGGAACAAGGAGTCAGACAAACCCCCACAAAAAAATCATACAAAGCACATGTTGTCCTGACCTACTTCATGAAACACCATGCATACTGATAGTGCTGCAAGAGTTAGGAGCCACACACTCATCCACGCCTTTAACTTCATCAAACAGACGGAGATAATCAGAACAGCAGACCCGTTTGGTGTTTAGTGGCAGAAAAGAGGGAAATAAATGATTCAGTCATAAAAGCAGCAGCTGAAGGGGATAAAAAGTGAAGAAATGAAAGAGTTGTCGGCAATAGAAGATTGTAATGAAGAAATGTTACAGAGAACACAGCCAAACAGAGGAATTTAACTTGTTTTTTGAGCTTGCATGTGTGTAAAACATGGTTGTTTCTCTTTTCGAAAGATGATTTAAACCTTAAAAAAGTTCTTTATACTGAAGGATATTGGTCATTCTTCTATTATAAAGGAGGAGGAGTTTCTGGTTTTGGTTGGTTGATTTACCAGTTTCTGATTTTGACAAAACCCTCAAGGCATTTTGGGGATGAAAATCAAAAACAAAAATCAGTTACAGCTAGCTTGGCTCGTGTTTTCAGTTAGATTGGATTGCGAAAGGTCAAGGCAGGACAGCCGAAGTCTCACCTCTTGACAGTGAGAAATTTCACAGAGACGATCATTTTAAACAGTACGGGAGAAATTTGCTCTCACATCAGAGACCGCTGTGGGCCTTGCTAAATTTTGGCAGCTTTGCAGGAAACTCTCCATAAAAAAAAGAGGAAAATAAAACCTCCTCTGTGACATGAAACAATCACTTTTAACTTTGATTAAGACAAGTAGGTATCTGAACACTTCACAGCTTTGTTTGAGTTCTTTTGAAAAAAAAACTCACAACCACAGCTCGACCTGTCTTTCTTCAACCTGTTAAGTTGTTAAAAATGAAGCAGAGTTTGCCTTATTTATGAAACACAAGGAACCCTTTGGGGAAACACCTAATTATTTTAACTTACTTTTGAAATTGCCTGCAGCAGCTATAATCAAACTTTCTACAGCTTGTTCTGTCAAGCAACCCAAATGAGCTTTAACACGTCACATTACAATAAAAACAGTCAGCTTAAAAAAAAGGAAAGAATTATATATTATTAACAAAGTAAATAGATAAAATCCTCCAACTGAAATAGTGGTTAAAATGTTTTATCTGGTAACAAGCACTAATACAGTGTGTTTTGATAATCCTTATACAACTATATGTTAAAAATAAGTTATTCTGTTTGAAAAAGTTTAATTATTGGTAAAAGAGAAAAAAATGAAACAAAACACATTAAATGTGTAAGAGTAGTGACAAACCACCATATCTTAAGATGACATTTAACAGGAAAAAACATTTTTCAATCATCACTTAAAAGTTTGGTGAAACATTTAGAAAAAAAAAGACAGGACCGACAATTTCTGTTGGAAAATATGAAGAATTCTACACATGTATGTGAAAATAACAAGGTACTAAGACCTAAAAGACCAAGTCTGGTACTTTTTTAAGAGATGTTCTGTCAGCAGTTACTGTATCTATAGTTAGTGTTTAGTCATGGCTTCAGTCAAAGAGAGCAGAGGATGAAGAAAAAGGTAGACAACGTCAGTGTGGGGCTTGTGCACACTGGCAGGGCTTGGTCAGCAGCTCCTCTCATGCTACCCTCCTGTTCAGACAATCAAGGTGATTGATGAAACAAGCTAAGAGCAGCCGTGAAGCCCATGTTGTAGATGACATCATCTCCTAGCACGTAGCTGCATCCTGACATGGTTTGAGAAAGTCATGTCAGGACTGTGAGGGTCTAAGAGAATAACTCATAAGAAAACAGAAAAAAACTATTTGGTGAAGCAGGTGGTGAGAAGAGTATTTGATGGAGGCCTTAGGAGCATGAAGGTTGAACTCTTAAATAATGACAAAAGGATATATAATCCTGTTCCTCCAGGGCCACTATCCTAAATGCTTTAAATGCTTCTCTGCTTCAACACCTGATTTAAATGAGTGAGAGATAAACAGGCTTTTGCAGAACTTGAAGACATGCTGAAGAGCAACAAAACAACTAAAACATGCACCAGTATTGAACACCACTGGGTTATGTGGTCTAAATTTTTCTTTGTCTCTTCCAGAAGAAGGTGCACCTGGACCAGTCCTGGACCAGTTCTTCTGTGTTTGTCTGTGTCTCTTTCCTGTCCTCCAACCAGCCGGTCGAGGCAGATGGTCTCCTGTCCTGGACCAGTCCTGGACCAGTTCTTCTGTGTTTGTCTGTGTCTCTTTCCTGTCCCTCAACCAGCCGATCGAGGCAGATGGCCGCCTGTCCTCAGCCTGGTTCTGCTGGAGGTTTCTTCCTGATTAGCAGGGAGTTTTTCCTCTCCACCGTTTGCTCAGGATGGGAGACTGTGATGAAGTGATTCAACACAATCTGCTGGTTTCCTCTTTAGATTGTTCTTTTTATGTACAGTGCCCTGAGACAACGTTTGTTGTGACTTGGCGCTATATAAATAAACTGAACTTGAACTTAATGAGGCCAGGTTTACTCAGAGTGAGTGTGTTTGAATCTGGCAAAGCTCTGCGATGTTCATTACAGACAAACACTCTGGTCTTATCTGTCCAAAGGGCATTTTCTCTAGAATTCTTGTTTGTGTTTAGTTTTTTTTTTTCTCAGAACGGAAATTAAAATTATCCTGGAAATTCTTCCAAATAAATTATTTTATTGAATTTTTTATTGTATTGTAGCAACCTGCGAATTTATGTCACTGCATAATGAAGTGATGTTGATTAATGTGCAAAGTCCCCATGAATAAATAAATTAAATGACCTTAACATGCTTGGCCTGTACATTTAGAGTTGTGGGGTTTTACAGTTTCTTTGAATTTTGGCTAAACTTGACTAAGACTTGAAATATTGCTGTTACTGTAATATTTTGTGACCACTTTTTAAATTATCTTAAAAGGTTCTTACAACAGTAACAAATAGCAACAATTGATTTTATTGCAGGAAGCCATAATTTCATTATGGCACAGTGTTAACACCCATTTGAATAGTCTAAACCACAAACTGGCAAAAGAAAATGAAAAAAAAAAACTGCTGTCATAAGGGGAATGCACATCCATTACTTCTCTACATGTTGCCGCTCGTGTACCCCTACACCCCCAACAATGCAAACATTTTAAAACATTCACCATGACTCTCACTTCAGTCATTGGGATGGGAGTTCAACACGTGAATCATCTTAAGTTAAAGGTTCCTGATCTTCAAAGGAAAAAAGAAAAGAAAAGAAAAGTTATTCGAGCATGGATTTTAAAATCTGGCCAGAATTTGAAAACCTATGAAGCAAAGCTTGAAGATATCAAAGAAATACATTTAAAATTAAAATTTGATTGTTGAGAACATAGTTTTTAATACCATATTATATTTTCTGAATGATGGTCATAGTTGAGTCAGTGACTAAATTTAAAGGGGCAATATGTTTCTCAGGGGTACAATTAAATTCTATACCATAATAAAGTAACTATGTCACCTTCAGTTGTTATTAAAATGTTGTTTTATGTTTAAATAGAAAATAAACTTGACTTCTCATCATATCTGTTTCTAAACGCCTTGAAATTGGCCTCTTCTCTTTAAGAAACTCCTACTTCTGCCCCGCCCATTTCAGCACAGGGCCGGGTTTGTGTGTTCTGTGATGAGGAAGCTCAGCTTGGAGACACAATCCAGAGGAGGAGATGATCCCAAAGCGTGGTTCAAGTCCCAGCCGGTGGTTTTTGCTCCCCTGCCTGGCTGCCTCAGGACACTACAGGATTTCTCAAACATGCATGAATGAGTCAAAGCAGGACTCTGGGCATGTTTTTGATGAGAGGATAACATTATAACATGATATATAACTCTAAAAAGTTGATTTTTACATGATTTTCCCCTTTAAAAACAAAAGACAAATGAAGGAAACATGCTTTGTGTTTTCCCAGCAGAATGCTGCACTCAGCTGTTCATATCATAACCAGAAGGTTGTTGGAGGAGGTACGAAACCAGGAGGTTGTGGAGAAATATTGGTTTCATTCTCCTGGTGGTTTTGACACTGATTCATCCTGCATCAAAAATTTGTTGGCATAGTCTTTGGGATGCATTTAAAGCCTCAAAGCAATAATTCAGATCTTTTGAAGTGATTGAAGAAACGTTATAAACAGTTTGCACCCTGTTGTAGATAAGTCAACCTCAGTTTGGAGGAGAAAAAGCTGAGCTTTGATCAGACTGATGCGCTACACTCTAGTTCCAAATTAGCCAAGATCAAAGTGAATTATTACAACTCCAGTCTCAAAAGCTTAACATTTAATGTAAACTCTATTTCATAAACCTGTACTTGACTTTTGCATTTATTTACATAACTTTTTGTTCACTTACACTTAAACTTCTGGTGCAGCTTGGGGCACTTCTAGAGGGAATATCTCATTTTTTCTGCTGAAATAACAGCTTAATGAAGAACTGATGTAGAGGGTTATTTACCAGTGCTTGCATCAACCATTTTAAACTTCTTGATAGCGAATGATACATCAGCCTTGAGTTAAACTCAAGAGCACAGTGCTGTGGGTTCCAGTAATTGCAAAGTGTGAGCAGGAGCAGTTGGCACACGAGATGACGAGACGGTGTTGGGACATGCCTCCCGAGTTCTTAGTCAGGCAGCTGTTTCATCAAACTGTAATGATCATGTGTTAAAAGAGAAACGTAACATTTCAGACATTAAGGTTTTTGTAAAGACAGGGGAGAGACACACAGTCTGGCATGTGCATCCGTTTGTGTATTCTGGATGCTCACCAGCCACATCTACAAAAGTCGAGACATGCAATTACAGCAAGAGAGAGCCCACTTCTGCAAATATCCAATATGATACGAGGGAGGAGGAGGGGGTTGGTTTCAAGCTGATCTTCTGTAATATTTGTTTCATGCAGAGACACTCAGACAGAAGCCACATGATTTCTAGCTGCAGCACTTCTTGGATTATATTTGAGCTGTTGACAAGTCTTCATGTCATCAGCTGTTTATGACAACCGCAAACAAAATCCATCAAATGGTGAGTGGACAGAAATCACAAATAAGCTCAAGGGAGAAACGCACTTTGATACATGTGTATATATATATATATATTTATATATATATTGACAAAACATTGGATTTTCCAGCAACGAGAAGCTCCAGTAAATTTACTCTGAAGAAATAAAGTTTGTCAGACAACAACCTATCTGATATTCTGAGATGAGTCCTTCTCCAAAAACATAAAACTCCACAATAAGAGAAAGAAAAAAGGTCTGATGCTTCCGGTAGAGTAACGCCTCGAAATATCAGGAGACAAACCTGTTACAGGGGCATGCAACATATGTCTCTTTATGTTTCTATTTCAGAACAAAAAACAAAGAAACTAGGACAGCAAATCTAGAAATAGGTCAGACTGTTTTAGTGTGCAGCTTGTTGGGGAACTAAGTGTTCATGTGCAAACAGTTGCAACAAATAGTAACTTAAACCCCTCATGTGCTCCTGCTGCTCCTCCGAGACCGAGCCTCCTCCCTCACTTTTTTACATGTTATAATTAAATCGTAAATCTCTTTGATGTATCAAGGTTTGATCCGTCTTCACAGATTTATGAGGTCATTTTCGGAGGTATCTTTGCTGTTTTTATGAAAACACATTTCGCCACGAAAATTGGGCTTAAAGACTTTAGCGATATAAACGAGTTTCAAAAGCCTCCCCTCCACCATCCAGGTGATGTTCAGTGTTTCTACAAATGCAGTGAATCAAATCATTTTTGGGCTGAAAACAAAAAGAAATTCATTAAACTGATTGTTTCCCAGCAATGCATGTGTAAAAAAAGGAGCAGATGCTTGCAGAGTTTTGTGATTTATCTTTTGCATAAAGCGAAGCTGAATCATGGAGACATTATTGGCTCTCTCTTTGCAGCTAATAGCCCGTGATGATGGAGTTTAGGAACATCACAGTGGAGTGTTTGAAATAGTCTAAGCTTAACTTCACTCATTTCAGTCATATCAAAACACAAATAAAGCAGAAGTCTTTGGTCTGACTCTTGAAAGCCATCAGTTATGCTGAGGATGGTTTTCACTTCCAGGAAATTCAGTTTACTTTTGTACTAAAAGTGTCTTCGAACCGTAGATCAATCGGTGCAGCAGTGAACTCTAATAAGCGGGTTTAACTTGAGTTAAAATACTCATGGAGTCATGTAAAAAACTCACAATCTTTAAAGCCCAACAGATTCCACTTGAACAATTTTCAATCATCACTAACCACCAAGGATGAATTATATCAAAATATCATAAATAATCTCAAGAACAAGTGAACAACTTTTAAATGAAACTGTCAGAAAGTAATGACTGGATGTACATCTTGGAAGAATTTTGGAGTCACCCCAATTCAAAATGGCTGCCACCTCAGCAAATACAGCAACAGCTATAACAGTCAAATTTACTGAGCTAAAATTTGGTGTGGTAGTTGCTGAGAGTCATTACAAAAACATACAGACAGCTCTGGAAAAACTTAAAGAGACCACTGCATAGTTTCCCTATATTTGGTGGAAAGCATTCCACCAAATATTGATTTCTGAACTCTTCCTGAGGTAAAACATTAGTATTGCTGTTTCTAAATGAATATGAACTTGTTTTCTGTGCATTATTTGAGGTCTAAAAGCTCTGCATCTTTGTCGCCATTTTGACCATTTCTCATTTTCTGTAAATAAATACTAAATGTTTGCTTGGAATTTCGGAGACATGTTGTCAGTAGTTCATGGAATAAAATAACAATGTTCATTTTACTCAAACATATACCTATGAAGAGTAAAATATTAGAAACCGATCATTTTAAAGTTGTTTCTCAATTTTCTCCAATTATATATCTTGCACATTATTTAACAGGATTGATCAGTTACAGATCCATCCTTTCAAATACAAAACCATCATTTTACACAAGAAGGGAATTGATCCCAATAAGTAAGTAATAAGTAAGAATAAAATACAACTGCATTTTTTGGTATAGTTTAGAAGTTATATTTATTCATATTTTAAAATGCGTTATATAATTATAATCTCTTTTTATTGCTATGATTATTATTTTGTTTTGTCAGCGAGTACTATTGACTGCAAGTATGGAAATGTGCGGCACTGGCACATTTAAATCAAATGATTTTTAATTCTGCATGTTTGCATAAATCATGCATGTTTGCTTGCTTATGAGGTTGTGAACACTGTTTTTATATGTACAGAAATTTAATATGTATGTAAATACCAGATAAATGTATTAATAATACATTACTGATAAATATTTTGTGTAAGACATACATAAAGATGAGAGGTAGAATAGAATAGGTTTATACTTCTTCCCACTCCTTTTTGATAAAATGCAGCAAGGCTGTTTTAACCTCTTCAAATTAAATATGGTAAATAAAATAAAATGATAAATGTTTTCGTATAAGATGAGCTTAGTTTAAAACTGACAAAAAACGTGGCTAGAGCTTTTAATTTTGAAAGTTTTCTTCAGATGAAGCTCTAAATGTTTAACTCATCTTGTTCATAACAGTAACATCCTCTTCAGTGAATGTACCAAATTTGTAAATATAAAAAAAGAATCAGTTGTTTAAAACAACTCAAAGAACCAAACAGGAAGGGAAATAGAGAAAAAAATAAAAGAAACAAGTCCGATCAATTTACTCTTACAGCTGGTCTTGGTGGAACTTAAGCATTTTCAGGTCTCTGTGTTTTTTGTGTAAACAACGTAACACAGTTGTGCGTCGAGTATTTTTTTTTGATGTGAAGTTTCAATGATAAATGTCCTCAATGTTCTAACTCACAAAACATTTGAAATCTAAAAGGTTTTGGTGAGTTGCCAAAATAAACGCTGCAGGATAAAACCTGCAACTGTTTGGCTCCAAATACTGTATCCGACAGTAAAAAGTTAAAAGAAGACTTTATAAAAAGAAATGTCTGAACTTCAATGCAGCTGTGTGAAAAAATGACTGAGTTGTGGGGCTGACGCTGATAAACTGGGCCTCTCTACGGGATCGAACGCGGAACATCTCGGTCCGGTTATATAACGCCCTCCTGCAGGTCGCAGGCTCACTGTTTGCAGCTGTGTTTGGAAAAGGTGTGGTTTGACACAGGCTGTTATTGAAAGGGCATTCACAGAAGGAAGAGGAAGGTGGTGGGGGAGCCAGAGGTCAGAGGTCAGAAGGATGATGCCCCCCGCCCCTGAGGGGAGGGGCTTGATCAGAGTCTGCTCGCCAGGCTTCCTCTATTCCCCGAAAACCCTCAGACCCCCAGAGAGAGGAGCCAGATGAACACATATTTACCATTAGGGAACAGCTGTGGGGCTGCCTGGGACTGGACACTCCTCTCTCCTGCATGCACACACACACACACACACACACACACACACGGGGGCACACATTGTAAAAACACCTCTTATGTTCACCGTGCACTAAAACTGCACAGTGTTCATGTGAGATAACAGAATATTTAACTCATTCACAGCTATTTTCTGTGGGAGTGAGTAGTTATACCTTCTTTTCTTAGAGATTCTGACTTAATAACAGACATTAAACAGGATAATGTGCTCCCTGCTTGTTTCTGAATCAACACAAGAAATCAAGAAATCATTAAGAAATCATTTTCAATCGATTATTTTATTATGAGATGTGGAAAAACTTGATCTAAAAGTTGCCATGATGTAAAAGAAAAGACTCTCTAAGTTTTTGTGTATAAACTTGTCCTTTTAGAATTCATTTTTGAATCTGAGCCACAGCTTTAGTTCAGTTTCACTCTTGGCTACAAATTATCTGACCTCTTCAATGTGTGAATGTTGAGTCAGATATGGGATAAATCTTGTGCCAGCAGGAATTGAATATGAACTGCTCAGATTGAATCTGAATGTGCATAATTTGAAATTGAATGCATTGGTTTGAAAATGAATTTTACTGAATTGAAACTGAATTTAATGGTTTGAAACTGAATTTAAAGTTTTGAATTTGAATTAATTTGCTTTGAAACAGTTTTTTGGTTTATTAAAAATTTCAGTTCGTCTACTTTCACTTTCAGTTCCAAAGTTCAGATTTTTGTGTAACACATCCTGCTCCTTGAGAAAGCCAGCCAGAGTAAACAAACACAGATTTACATTTCACTTTGGTGAAGTTTCCCTTCTGTAATGTAACAGAGTTGATGCAATCCACTGTAAAAGTGACAAAAACAGACAAAGTTATTTTATTGCAGTGATTAATTTTACCTATAGAAAATGTTGCATTTACATCACATCATGGATCACATATTGATCAGATGATGCTGCTGACTGATCCATGGTGGATTGCATCAACTCTGCTACATACAGAAGGGAAACTTCACCAAAGTGAAACGTAAATCTGTGGATCTGTGTTTGACTAATCTGGCTGGTTTTTTCAAGGACCAGGATGTATGACACACAAATTAGAATTTTGGAATTGAAAGTGAATTATGGAAATGAAAGCGAAAGTAGTCAAACAGAATGTTTAATAGACCAAAATACTGTTTCAAAACAAAATAATTCAAATTCAAAACTTTAAATTCAGTTTCAGTTTAGTAAAATTCTTTTTCAAACCAATGCATTCAATTTCAAATTAAGCACATGCAGATTAAATCTGAGTAATTCAAATTCAATTCCTGCTGCCACAAGATGTATTCCATAGTCAGCATTCACACAGTTGTTTTTCTGCATACATACATACATACATACATACATACATACATACATACATACATACATACA